GTCACACCAAACATTCCATTAGCAACGCTCAAACGGCAACAGTCTCAACCAGAAGTATCAAAACAAATTATTATACCTCCAAGAAGATCTTGTGATCCTCGACTGGATGACGATGAAGTAATTTTTTTTTTGAAGTTTATGAACATGACATCTTTGAGTTCAGATCATACGTGACCAATCATTCCTGATTTTTAATCTCTTGCTTTGATCACCGTGCTGATTGGAGCCTGAAGTGTGCTTTGATTCCGATTTTCCTGCTCTCATTGTATTTTCAAATCGACGCAGATCATCGTTATAAATGTGAACAGTCTCGATTTGATGCTTTTGAAGAAAACAGTTTGGAAAGGGTTACTGCATCGAACAAAGAGTAATCTGTGAAATAGTTGAATTCATCCGTTACTACTTTCAGAAATTCATTATCAGTGATCTCGATCGACGCATCGACGATTTTAACATGCAGCAGGTGAGAATCACCTTTCGTTTTTGATTTGTCGCATTGATTGATAGATGTTTGAATATTACAGTTTAAATTAAACTGGAATATATCGTAGACCCTTAGAATCTTCTCAGATTTTGCTCTTATTATGTGAGAATCACCTTTAAAAAGACCTCAATTCGGCTTTTAAAAGTATAATGTTTAATTTACTGATACATTGCTTTTCAGGAAGTTAATAATTCACAAATGAATAAAGCAGAACAGATGAAAGAATTGGAAACGAAATTGGTGACTGAGCAAAGTAAAGCGTCGGATGGTGATAATGACATAATGATAATAGATGACGATCACGAGAATGAACAGCTTCGAGCACTTCAGAAACGAATCAGTGAATTAGAGCAAATCAACCAACAGCTATATGATTACGCTGCAAATCTGATTTTAGATACTGAATAATCGAGCAATCATCCATTCGATCATTCATTTATTGGATATGTTGTGGAATGTCATTGAAGTATTCACATTTGCTTGGTTCTTTCGCTGATACGTTTGATTTGAAAGTATTCTTCATCGGGCAGTATGTCGCCCATAAGTAGCCATTCATTCATGAATTTATCATATAGATTGTTGGATATTTGAACATTACTGTTAAAATGAAACGTGATCTGAATATGGACTTGTGAAACGGGCATCGATGCTTGTGTCGAATTACTGTGCTTTATGAAGATGGTGGTGTGTCGTTNACCCCTTTAAAAATTTTGAAATATCCTCGCATCCCTCACAACAATGGTTAATTCAAGAATGAAAGTAAACGCGATCAAAAGAATTTTTTAATAATTAACCTTTAATAACTTGTACAAAAGGGTCATTTGGAAAAGGAAAAATATTACAAAAAAGTAAAAGTCACAAAAACTCAATGAATTTTCATCCATGCATGAAACGTTTTGAAAAATGTTTACATTGAAGTTCATTTTCTTATACTTTAGACACACAGTTCAGCACCCCACCCTGCTTACCTTATTGTTTAAAAAATGAAATGCTATATTGCACCCTCTGGAATACTATCTCGCATCCATTAGGGATACAAGCACACCTGGTTGAGAGACCTTGCTCTAAATTAATCGCACGACGAATTTTAAAATTTGGTTGTTATTATAAGTCGTCTGCACAGAGTTGCTTGTTGAAGTGGCATGAAAGAGAACAGCGATTCTATATCGCATCGAACTGATAACAATAACAACCAGTTAAATCATCACTTATGCCGGTGGTTCTCATAGGGGGTGAAATTACCCATTTTGGGTAATTTGGAGGT